AAAAAGGATGCCAGAAGTACTGTACTCATTTTTATTTTCAAGCGCTTGAATCGTTACTTGAATATTTCCACTTTATTCCCCGTCATAATAATGTATAAATTATCAACCTTTCCAACTTAATGTACTCATTTTTATTGGTGTCGCTTTTCGCTTGAATGAAGGTGAAATACGCTGATAATAGAAAAAATATTTGACGCTCTTACTTGTGTAAATGAGAGGTAACCTATAATTAAAACCATAGGTCTGATAAATAAGTGCAGTGCATTAAAACATTAAAAAACAGGAGGAATGTATTTGGAGTAGATTAACTGAGTACAAATTATTGAGAATTATAGATTATATTACAGGTATAAAAATAAGGCACCATAAGTCTAGGTTAGAATATGGCTGCCAATAATATTAATAACGCCAATAAATGCTACGGAAGTGAGAACAAGAGTCATATCTCTAGCATACCCTAGAGACCAAAACGCAAATTGCCCGAAAACAACAAAGACGACGAAGAAGAAGATTTTGGAACGTCATTTCCTGTCTTGCGCAAAGCAGAGGAACGAAAGTAAACATGGCGGCGGCGGAGAAATCGACGAAGGAGAGACTACTGTCTGTGCTGGATGATTTGGAGGTTTTATCCAGGTAAAATTAAACTTCGTGCGAGCGTTTTCTCGTGTAAACTGTTTGGTAAGCTATCAGTATTTTATCTGTGAAGAGATAAAGTATTTTATCTGTGAAGAGATAAAATACTCGGAGCCGTGAACTAGCACCCCCAGTTTGTGCTGATTACTAGAAGACATGCCGCTCATTGGCCGAGCCTACGGCTTTTCTGAAAGAAAGATAACGAGCCCTGGGATTTGAAACAACGTGAAACACTGTTCTAATTTTTCTGTTGTAAACTGTTAGCAGTTAGAAGACTCTGTGTCCATTTTATAAAACAAGGTTGTTGAAGAGTTTGTAGGTACTACACTCTACGGCTAATAGTCATTTTCAAAAGGAAATATGTCTGTGAAGGTTCTCAGTCATCCAGGTCATCGTAGCCTAAGTAGCTTGGAAAGAAAAGCGTCTGGACTTCTTTGAGACTGGGACTCTCCACCATTTGACCCTTAGAACTGAAGAAGCTTCTCGGATGAGAGGTGAAACGTCTTCAAGCAACTCAAAGAAGTCCAGGCGCTTTTCTTTCCAAGCTCCTTAGACTTTCAAAAGAAAACTACCACAAGAATGGCCAAAATGACTAATCAGAGAAACAAAGCGAACATGGGCGTACAGAAAATGAGCGTCAGTATGAGCTTTAAAAAGTAAATAATTATATAAACATAGAAATTGATTTGTTGGATTGAAATGTGGTTTTTGACCATTTTTAATTGTGTGTGTTCATTTCAGGGAGCTGATAGAGATGCTGGCATTGTCCAGGAGTCAGAAAATGCCTCAACCTGGAGAGGACACGCAGGTAACACCCCACTCAACTTTTAGTCGACACACAGAGATTTAAACAAATTAATGACCATCACAGTGACTGTCAGACCATGCGTAGTCCTAAGGTTAGTGGTGATCAAAGGCCTTCTAGAAGCAAGTCTCACTATGTGGCAGCTATTCTAAAATGTCTCCAGCTATATATTTGGTCAGTGTTGTGAAACACTGTCCAATTTGATACTTGTCTGCCACTCTGTGTCTGTATTTTTCCAGTTCTGGTACATGATCTTCAAGTTCTTTGTGGATTTGCACAGTCTTTTGTTTTTTGCTGTTTTAAAGTTTTGGTGAGACATGATCACTAATACAGGATCACTGTTTCTTTAAGGACAAACCTGTGCTTAATTGTTAACCTTTTTTTTTTTTTTTTAGATTTAAGCATTTAATTTTAATGCTGTCACATTTGAAGATATCTAGTTCCTTCCAACTGATTTTCTGTCATCTTGTCCATAAATCTTTCATAGCTTTTGAACCTTTTATTGTGTTAGACTTGAGTGATTTTAGTTAGTTGCACTAACCTGTATGAAGTGTATGAAATAGGAAATCTTTGATAACAGAATGTGTTGATGCTTTATCCATAAGATCCTGGAGCTGTTGGTGCAGAGGGACAAGGAGTTTCAGGAGCTGATGGAGGTGGCCCAGCAGCAGGGGAAGGTTCACCAGGAAATGCAATTGTTGGAGAAGGAGGTGGAGAAGAGAGATAGTGACATCCAGCAGCTCCAGAAACAACTGAAGGAAGCAGAACACATCCTGGTGGGTTTGGCTTGTCTCTTGTTGTAATTTTTTTTTATCCAGAGCAGGGCAGCACTGACAGATTGAAATAAATGCTCAAATGTTTTAAGTATGCTGGTGTAGCTGATACTGTGCTCTTACAGCAGAGGTGTTCAGGGTTATAGTGTTGCTATTGTAATGTAAAGGGGCCTATGATTCTCTTCTTTTTCTGATATACCGTGTTACAGATGTTCATATTAAACATGGCCAAGGTTTAAAATAATGAGGCCAGCATACAAATAGTCATAATAAACAGAAACTACATCTTCTTTAAATTCTAATATCATGTGAGAAGTGATAAAGAGGATTGATATATTTCTGTCTATCTGTTTCAGGCCACTGCTGTTTACCAGGCAAAAGAGAAACTGAAATCCATCGAAAGAGCCAGGAAAGGTGAGGGAACACTCCCGACACGTTCTGGTGAAAGCTATGTTTGATGGCTGGTTTTCTCTTTGATGGCTTGCCCATAAATTGACACTGTTTACATGTTCTCTGCAGGAAGCATCTCATCAGAAGAAATCATCAAGTATGCTCACAGAATCAGTGCCAGTAACGCTGTGTGTGCTCCTCTCAACTGGGTGCCAGGTATGTGCCAGGCTCTCTGTATCTCACACTGGGTGTTGGTAAAAGTTCATGTTCAGCTTCATTCACTGTTGTCATACTTGACAGGTGATCCACGCAGACCGTACCCTACCGACCTGGAAATGCGTAGCGGGATGCTTGGTCACATGGCCAACCTGTCCACCAATGGTGTGAACGGTCATCTGCCAGGAGACGCGTTAGCTGCTGGGAGGTTACCCGGTAAGTTCAGCTGAGCACTTAAAGGAAGGAGTACCCATGCCTCCTGGCAAAGAGATTTTAGATGAGGTCAGAGGTTTGTTACGTTGATTTCAAAATGTATCATTTATCAATTTATCATTATAATGATAAAAAGTTAAAGGATGGCTCCATTATTTTTCTTTTTATCAAGTATAAACACTGAACACAGTTTTTATTTGTTGCCATTCAGACTGCATCTACATCAAGCTCTGTAACATAAGAAACTTGGCAAAAAGTACCAGCTTTCAGATAGCTGAGAGAAAGGCTGAGATAAGTAGTGTCAGTCAGTGTTTGGCATTTCACAGAATAACCCCTTTTCTCTCGTGTCACCTCAGACGTCCTGACGCCTCATTACCCGTGGCAGTCGTCTGATGTCTCAGTGGGGATGCTGCCCCCTCACCACGGCAATGACTTTGGCCTGGAGCCTCCGGGTCACAACAAGGAGAATGAAGATGATGTAGAGGCCATGTCCACAGATTCCTCCAGCAGCAGTAGTGACTCCGACTAAAAGCGTGTCTCAGAGTCAAGAAATGCTGAGACGTGTGTGTGTGTGCGCGTGTGTGTACACGTGTCTGTTTGTTTGACTTAAAGCTCACCAGCGAGCAACATCTGAGCAGGCATCTTCAGCTTCAGTCATTTATTGTGCCTTTGAGAAATTGATTTTTTAAATGTACCCTTTTTGAATATTAGTGAGTTTATGGTGTTAGTAGGTGGATTATGTTCCCTTTGGACAGAACCAGGCTAACTGGCGTTATTATACAGTTCAGTGAAACTACTGTATAAACTAGAACTAGCAAAAATGAACGTGTCATTCTGGACTCCTACATGAAAGAAGACAGACCAAAGAATATCCTTCAGAAAACAAAGACAATAATTTGCCTTCTTTTGCTCTTTGGTGACACCGTGTGTGTGTGTGAGAGAGACTCGATGTCTAATTTTAGTTGGTCACGGTCAGAATGTTTGCAGTGTAGTATAAGTTGTGTAAATATGCCTGTAAATACTCAGTCTTGTAAATAAATACTTTTTGAATACAATTTTTTTTCTAGTCTTTTTGTGTCTGGACTTGTGGATTTGTTGTTTTGTTATTCATGTTTAGGAACACCAACTTTCAAATGTTCCTGAACAGCATTAGATGGAAGCAGATACAGTCAGAGGTCATGTCATCCATTACGATTCAGTACGTTTCATGGTGCAAGGTGTTGGCTGTATGTTTTTATTTATCAAATCTTTGAAAATTTGAACTGCCCCGTGCTGGAACACTATTTCTCACTGGAAGTGGAAGTAGAACATAATGCAAAAGAGCAATAAGTACATTAGGGCCATCTTGCATTTGACATCACTTTTTTGAGTGGAAAGATAAGGAGATAATAGAGATACAAGCCAGAAATTAGCACTGGGTAGAAAAGGTTTCATTTCTTGTTACATACAAGTGGAACTAATGTCAGAGTGCAACACGGTGCCTACATGTTGTTGTTGTTGTTGTTGTTTTTTAAATGAGCCATGAGATATGACTTCATTTATTCATTTACAAGTTTATACTTGACACTAAGAATTGTATTTATTTAGGTTAAAGGGCGGAAGGAGTCTTTATTTACAGTATGTTGAGGCAATGATAGTGCTGCCTTCAGGAGCTCACTGTAAAACACTATGTTATTGTATACTATGGTTAAAGATTGAAATAAAGATTTGTTTTTGCAGTATGCTATTAAAATTATGTGATGTAGCCTATTTGAGTTTTTGCAGTGTTATGAAAAGGGGAAATAGGCACGAAGTGGACATTTAAAACAAATGAATACATTTAGCTACTTTTTAAATGCTCATTTGTATTCTTTAAAGTAAGTACGCATATTTTCAGATATTTGAACACTGAAACGTGAAGTTTCCGACAGCATTTGAAATTACCAGAGGGGAGGGCGGCTTTGGAATCGCACTACGCATGCGCATTCAATCCATTTTGCTGTAGAGGGAGACATGGCGACGTCCCTGATTTGCGGCCGTTTGACGGCTAGCCTGAGAACTTCAGGGGCTAGAAACACTATTAGCTCCGCTTGTAAGGTAAGTGTGTATCCACAACGGAAAACAACGTTTGGGCTTTCGTGGAATGTGTCTGTTATGGCACCACACCTTCCCCCAGGGTTAAAAGTTCTCCGAATCTGACAGGGTCAAATTTGACATTAGCACAACTCGATTGAGTTTCCGTTATTTTGGCTAACACGCTAACTAGCACATAGTTAGCATGGTCGGCTGTCAAATCTGCAGATTAAGCAGTAAACGGCCAAAGAATCACTGTGCCCTTAGTCTTTTCTGTAGCCGTACACTTCGTGTGGCTGTGAACGGCATTCTTGGTGGAGGATATGCTCAGTGAAGCTCAGTGACCTCCACCGGCAGCTGCTACAGCTTCCATCCCAGCAATTCCTCCCCCGTGCTCTCTGTCCCGCTGGGTCTTCTTGGGAAGTTATCTGGCCAAATCCGCTCAGGCTCGGAAGCATAAACAGCTTTCACTGCAGAGATACGCTGTAAATATACAACGGGGGGAACAGCAAGATAAAATGACGGAAGAGATCTAACCGGGAAGAGCGCGCAATTCAACCGGGAGTCCATTACACCAGGCCCCCCATAATATAGAGCCAGCAAAACTCTGAATATTCTACACTGAGCAGAATGACGTTATTTATGTCATATTGGTGGGAGGCTTTGGGTCTCGACATTCTGGTGGATGTTCTTCTGATACCAGCCTAGACATTGCTGCAGACACCTGACACCACAGGACAAACTCAGTGGTCTCATGGCTGTGCTCTGGCAGTCCGCAGCTGTTTTGGAAGCATGAAGAGGACTTACACAATACAAAACAGCTGGTTTTAGTGTTTTGTCTTATCGGTGGTAAAAGTATCAGCATTCTTAACAGAAGTCTTTGTGTCATCTTAGGTGAAAGTTTGAAACGCATGTAAAACTTATTTTGACACATTCTGTTCAGATAACATCAGCAAAGCTTTACATTTATTTTACTAAAAAGGTATCTGCAGGTTGTTGAAGCTCTCTAAAAGCACTGGATTCAGTTCTTTGGTCCAAAACTCTGTAAAAAATACGCTATTTAGTGACAAAATATTAGCATTTTGTCAGCTAAAAAAAATTCTAGGATACTGGTTTGAAAGATGGTTGAAAGGTGTAATATAGATCAACGAAGAAGAACGGTGATCTTTAAATTGTTTCATTCTTTTTAGGCTACCTGTCAGGACTCCGCTTGCCTACATTTGTATTCATCAATGGGAATTTTTGAGTTATCCATCTGGAAATGTGATATAATGTATATTTTAATTGCAGTATTGTTCTGGGTTTTCATTTTGGATGGCGTAACAGTGAAATAATACATGTGTTACACATTATGTGGTTGCAAGAGGGACTTTAAAAGTCTTACTTGAGTAGCCAACAAAAAGTCTTCAGTTGCTCCCTTTTTTCTGTTCATTATTATCTTGATAGTGTGTGCACACCTATTAGAGTTAATAATGTCTGTTTACACACACTTTTGCTTGTGATATAATTTTATATATTGTGTAAAGGTAACAGAACAAAGTAATGTTTGACTAATTGTCTGGTGTCTGAAACCTGAAAAACTGTGACAGGTTTAGTTCTTCTTGTTCTGTTTTAGCTAAACACTTACTTCAGTCACAGGTACGCCATACTGGTACCAGGGGGGATGCCTTTTGGCCTTCAGAACTGCTTTAATTGTCCGTGGCACAGATTTTTAACAAGTGGCTGGAAACATTCCTTAGAGATTTTAGTCCATATTGACATGGAGCATCACACAGATGCAGATTTGTCAGCTGCACATTCATGGTGTGAGTCTCGTGTTCCATCACATCCTAACGGTACTCTGTTGGAATGAGATCTGGTGACCGTGGAGGCCATTTGAGTACAGTGAGAGCTTTTAAATGATGATCAATTTGTACTTAAGGCCCCAGAATGTTCCACCTCATTAGCCTCAGCTATTGAAACAAGGCAGGATGGAGCCTGTTATGGTCAGCTTTGATGCTATCATCTGAATATCACAGCAAAAATCCAGAATCATCATTCTGTTGACTGCTTTCGGTGAGCTTCAGTTCCTGTTCTAATCTGACAGGAGTGGCACCTGGTGTGAGTTTCTGCTGCTTTAGTCTAAGTGGTTATTGGAGCTACTATTGCCTTCTTGTTAGCTCAAAGCAGCTGACCATTCTCCTATCACCTCTGACATCAACAAGGCATTTTTACCCAGAGAATTGCCACTCACTGGATGTTTTCTTTTTTCAGTAAACTCTAGTGGTGCACATCAGCAGTTTCTGGTACTCAGACAAAGTCCGTCTGGCAGCAGCAACCACTCCACCGTCACAGTTACTTAAATCGCTTTGTTTCTCTGGTCTGATACTGAGTTTGAACTTTAACAGGTTGTCTTGACCATGCCTATTTGCCTAAATGCTGATTAGATATTTGTGTTAATAAGTAAATATGTGAAGCAGGTGTACCAAATAAAGCAGCCAGTTGTCTTCTTTTTTTTTTCTTGACCAAAAATAAAAGGTTGGATTTTTTTCTTTTGGTCCACTGATTTAGTTGAGGAAATAAACGTGATTGTCTAATGCCCAGCTGACATGCTTTGAGTAACACTTTGTTTCACATCCTTGCTGAAGTTTCCAGTGTTGCTTTTGTGGTCCTACGGACTGTGAACGATTCTCTCTTCCTCCAAGGATGGTGATGTTTTGTGTTGTAGGAATTTTATCTTGTGGGTTTAGTGTCTGCGATTTTCACATGTTGCTCTAGCAATATCGAGGAAAAGACAACACAATGATGTGTCTGCGTGTTTTGAGTTAAAAGAGATTGTTTACTTGTAGGTTAGAATGACATTTGAAGATGGCAGATGTACTGGTTTTAAGTTCACTGCTTCCTGTGCTTGTTCTTTCTGTCCCTTCAGGTTCTTGGTGGTTCTTCAGGTCTGTTTGGCGGCCATGGTTCCCAGCCCCCTCACGTGCAGCAGCAGCAGAGGAACCTCTCGCTACATGAGTACATGAGCATCGGCCTGCTGAAAGAGGCCGGCATCTCTGTGCCGGCCGGCATGGTGGCTAACTCCTCAGAGGAGGCGTACGCTGTGGCCAAGCAGATTGGTAAGGCTGAACAAGTCGTTAACAAGCAAGTTCACTTTCACTGTCCTTTTCTCAAGGACAAAAAAACAAAAACTGTAGTTCTGTTATTTAGAACAGTTTAAGTGACCATTTAAGTGATTTTTAAAGACAATGTCCAACCTCAGTCAAGATGCACAGCTTCACACTTTAAAGTATAAAGAAGCACTGACATTTGAAGATGTTGTATATGCATTTAATTACAGAAGCCTTGAGAAACCCAGCAGGCTAAACTTCAAATGCTTTGATTGTGAACTGACTGTGGCAACATTAACGTTTTAAATAAATCATAATATGGTAAATGGTAAATGGACTGGTTCTTATATAGCGCTTTTCTACTC